AGCCCTGGGTCCTTCTGGAGCGCCACGTAGTCGCCGAAGCCGATGGTGGTGAGCGTGATGAAGCAGTAGTAGTAGGCCTGGAAGAAGGTCCAGTGCTCGTAGTAGGAGAAGGCGGCGGCGCCGATGCACAGCGTGCTGATGCACGAGAAGAAGCCGATGAGCACCATGTTGGCCATGGACACGTCGGCACGCCGCATGCCCAGCCCCTTCTTCGCGCGGTGCAGCAGGTACTTCACGAAGGTGTTGATGCGCTCGCCCAGGCTCTGGAACATGACGAGCGTGAGCGGGATGCCCAGCAGCGCGTAGAACATGCAGAACACCTTGCCGCCATCCGTGCTGGGCGCTGCGTGGCCGTAGCCTGGGGAGGGCCAGAGGAGAGAAAGCACACGCTGAAGTGGGGGGGGGCGCCTTCCAGAACCCTCCTCCGCCCCGCCTCTCACCTCCACATCCCCTCCTTGCAGATTCCGGGCCACTCTTTCAACACCAGTCAGGGGCGCCTCCTTGTCCCCACACACCTCGGTAGCCCTCGGCTTGTGCCTCCTCATTTACTCTGGTGACAACTCCAGGAGGAGGTGGCAGAGAAGAAGCAGGGAGGGCCCAGTGACTTCCCAAGGCCACACTGTCTGTATGTATAGTTACCCCCATTAGACCAAGTCTGTCTGGCTTCAAAGACTGGGCACTTTTTATACCTAGAGCAGCTGGCCTGTTTGTCCAGAGGCAGCAGCCAAAGTGTGAAGGGCGTGGTCAGGTGGGGGACCTGGGTTCTAGAGCAGTCTTTGGGCATGCACCTTGTCCTCAGTTCCCCTGTTTGGAGAGGTGGTTGTACTGACTGGGCAGTTCAGGTGGGGAGAGGGACACTGAGGCCTGGATGGCCAGTCCGCTTACAGGAGGTGGCTGGCCGCTCCCCCTGGGGCAATTGGATCTCCTGTGCCAGAGAAGGAGAAAGGAGACTGCCAGTGCCCCCCACCCCATGCTGGATTAGTGGACGTGCCAGGGTCCACGTCAGCCCCCAGGCTGGGGCTCTGGGGTCATCTGGGTGTGGTCCCCAAGTAGGGTCTGTCTTCATGGGGAGGTGGTATTGCCCTCAGCAAGGCAGGAGTGTCCTTCCAGTGCGTTACAGTTACCAACCAGACAACATCTGTGCCCACCACCCAGCCCTCACTGCCAGGAGCCAGGCAAGGGCACAGCCTCCCTCTGAGCCAGCCAACAGATGGCCTTCAGTCAAGAATTCTACTTGATTTCCTGGAGGGAAGCGGCCCTGGGGATCCAGAAGCCCTGGGTGCAGGTTCTGTCACTGGTGGCTGTGTGACCGTAACCTTGGGGAGATTACCACCCTTCTCCGAGCTTGTTTCCTTATTTGTAAAATGAGGTCTACTGGTCCTGTCTTTTGCCGAGTGTTATTTATTACTTTATTAACAGAATAAAGATAATAAAATAAAGTTGGACAGCCTTTCCAGTTTTTTTCTTCCTTTCAAGCCTTATCAGATATTTTTTAAAAAAAGATCATTATTTCATTTGACTTATCATTAGTTAATTTGACCAGAGAGAGGGAGGAAAAGCGAGAAAGCAAGCTGCCAGGTCTGGGACTTGAACCGTGATTGGAAATGTGGGAGTCCTGCACCTTAACCACCCCACTACCTGCTGGCCCCAGGCTTACCAGATCTTAACCAAATACTTCCATACAGTCTTTCGGTTCCTTTCCACCTTCTTTGAGTGGCACTGAGAATGCTCAGCTTTGAACTCCAAGGCTGATACCCCCCACCCCCACGTCCCCGTCCTCCAGGATCCCCAACTACATCTGGCTAAATACTAGCTTGCGGTGAGAGAGTGGGCACCGCTAGACCTCGTCTTGTTCCTCCCTAGCTTCCACCTCCACACTGCCAGCCACACCCATGGGGCCCAAACTATGACTGATGATGGAACTGCAAGTCGGATACTGTGTGCTTTGGTGTCTGATCTGAGTTCAAATCCTGACTGCTGTGGACTTGGTAGAGGTGCGTGTGTGAGAGAGTGTGTGCATGCACGTACGTGTGTGTGTGTGCATTTAACCTCCGAGCCTTAATTTCCACACCTATAAAATGTGCACCTGTCTCCCAGGGCTTTGGGGGAGGAGTAAGTGAAATAATGTGTGTGATGCAACTGAGCTAGGGCCCAGCACACTGCGAGTCCCAGGAAAGGCTCGCTGTGATTAATAACGAGAGCAGTGCCAGATTCCGTGCACGTTTCCAAGCGAGCACCCAGGCTTAGGGCAGCTCAGTGCTGGGAAAGCTGGCGTCTCTGCCAGCCTAAGGCCATTTGAATCTCGAAGCTCAAGCAGGTCAGGAGACAGCTGTTAGGAAGTATGCAAGGCTGTGGGGCTGTCCTTCGAGTGGGCTCCCCTGCCCCCCCATCATGGCATCAAGCCAGTGGCCCTGTCACCTTTTGCCAGGGATGTGGACAACTGAGCCGTTGAGCCGCTGTTTCTGGCCCATCCAGGCCCCGGCAGAGTGAGAACAGATTGTGCCTGCCAGCTCAGCCACGCAGCCAGGCCACAACTCACCTCGACAGCTGGGCCGGTCCCAAGCCAGAGCTTCTCATCCTGTCCTTCTCTGTCCCCCAGGCTGGCACCTCATAGTGTGTGTGGGAGGGTATGGCACTTTGGGCAGGGCCTGGTAGCAGGTGGAGCTCGTGGACCTGACCCTGGCTTGACCACTGCTGGCTGTGGGATGGTGGGCAGATCCCTTCCCCTCTCCGGACTCACTTGCCTTGTCTGCACTCTGGGGCGTCGAGCTAGAGCTGTCAGTCCTGCTCTGGCTGCCCGCCGCGACGGGCTGCGTGGTAAAGGAGAGACTGGACGTGAAGGTCCCCGCACCGGTGGAGTGTGACAGAGGCAGCAGCGATGGGCTCTCTCTGGGGAGGACGGTCTGAAAGCGCAATCCTAGGGGCAGGGCCACCTTGGTGGGGTCAGGCATCAGGGAGCAGGACTCCCTCTCCCCGCCTCCACCACCTTGGCCTGGTTCACTGAGAGCCTGTGACTTCCAGGGCCCACCATCTCTTAGGAAGACCTGGGGCCACTGCCTAGCAGCCTCTCTGTCCACTATGGGCTGCCTGCAAAGGCCCCAGCTTCGGAGCCACATGCCAGTGCCTGGCGCTCCTGGTCTGGTCCCGGCACTCCCTCCCCACCCTTCTCTTGAGTCACCGTGGAGCTCCATCCTCACCCCGCACCCCAGCTGTGCTGGCCACCTTCCCCGACACACTGTCCTCACACTGCCAGCCTCTGACCACTCCTGCCCTCACGCCCAAGTGGCCTCAGGACCAGCTTCAGCAAGTGCAATGCTATCTCCTGACCCCCTCCTATTCACTTAGTGACTTTCAAAGTGAGTGACTCATCAGCTTAACCAAAAGGTTCTGATCAGGGCCAGAGCCTCACACCCTGCACTGCCCCTGCCCAGTCCAGGGCAACCCCAGCCTGGGTCAGCTGTCCCCCAGGGCTCACCCTCCCTTCCTCCCACAGGCCAAGGCGTAGCGATAGGAAACTGTTACCCTTCAGGCATATTCTCGACTTAATTCTCAAAAACTTCTTGCAAGGTTATGAGTATGACCGCCCCCATGTTACAGTGAAGGTCATGAAGTCTCAAGAGGCCTGTGAGTTGGCCAAGGCCGTTAGGCCTTTCTGACTCAGTGTTCGCTGTGGTTCATCGGAGCTAACATGTCGCTCCACGAAGGGCGACCAAGATGGGAGCAGAGGCTGTTTCCGAGAGGAGAACCTGGAGCTTCAGCCTCTCGTCCTACTCTGAGCTGGGGGTGTGGCCACAGGAATTCGAGGCCCAGGAAATGGAAGCTGCTCCCAGTAGCAGGCCAGAGTCATTACACCCGCCCCTTTGCCTGTCCGGTTGTCACTGATAGTCACTGGGGAAAAGGGCAAGGGAGCTATGGGGACCTGCTGACGTGGGCGCCCAGCTTGGAGGGGTGCCAGCCAGGGTGGAGCCGCTCCCAGGGGGCCCTGGAACTTCTGGGAAGTAACTGGGAGTTTGGCAAGACCAGTGTGCTGAGCAGCAGGCCTGCTGCCTCTCGCCTTGTCTGCGTCAGGCTCGGCTTTATGGGGGAGGGGGCTACTTGTGTGCCCCGTCCTCTACTCCCTGGCCATCCTGTGAGTCCCTGAATGGCACCAACGCTCACAGAGGCTGCCCTCTGGGGCCGATTCTCTGAGGACTCTCTCTCCCCACACCTGCTGGACTGCTCAGCTGGGCTCATGCCTGGCCATGAGACTCCAGCTATCACCCCTCAGAGCAGCGACCAGGCCGTCCCTGCCTCCCTTTCCTGAATCTCCCACGGACTTTGAGGTTCTCAGAGCCAGAAAGGCCATCAGAAATCGTTCGGTTCAGTCCTTATGTTGTAAAAACGAGCAATGGAGTCTCAGAGGGAAAGCAGAGCCTGCCCAAGGTCACGCAGCTGGTGAATGGCAGAACCAGGGCTCTAACCCCGTCCACTGCTTTCTGGCTCAGGCATGACCAGGGCGGTACCTGTTCATTCAAGCAGGGCCAGCAGCTCCTACCTGGGGGTGCCTGGCCTAAGTGGTGATCCTGGAACCTGGCTGGAGGCACAGACTTCACCCAAGGAAGCCAGGTGGCTGGACAGAAAAAAAGAATTATGTGGCTGGACATAAATATGAATAATTAGGATACATAGTTTAGGGTAATGAGAAAACTCCTGGGCCTCCAATCTTCTCTTTTCTTCCTGGTATCACCGGGGAGCTCAAAAAACGGGCTGAGGCTTTGTCTTCCAGGGAGGTGCAAAGGCATGGGGGGGCAGGGGCAGGTCTGGCCCTCCCTCTGACGGCTCTTTCTCTCCCCGTGGTGGCCTATTTTCCTCTAGGCAAAGTACAGCTCGCCACTCTGAGCCCTTGGTCATGGCCTTGGCTGGACTGGGCTTGGCTGCCTGCTCCCCACTGGCCTCATCTGCCTGCTGGCTTGCGCGCCTGACCTCCCACTCCTGGCCCAGCTGGCCATGAGGCCAGGATGCTGGCGACAGCCTCGGCTGGAGGAAAGAGCATGGGGTGAGGAGGCAAGAGATCGGGGGGTCTGACCCGACTCTGCCATAACTAGCTTTGTGTCTGGGCCACCTTCTCTGGGCTTCAGTTTCCCTCCTCTCAGTGACCTGGGACGACAAGGTAAAAGACAAGAGTCCCATCTTTTCTTACCACTAGAGATGCCTTGTATAATTTTCTCTGTTCACCCACCATTCACAGTCAACATTTTGAAAGATTTTATTTACCAAGTAGGATGTGCGGATCAGCCCAGTGAAGATCCTGCATAGACCAAGCACTGAATAGATCATTGTTGGAGCCAATATTAATTTATCTCTCCATCCAAGTTCATT